CGACGATTGCCTAATAGATATATTCAAAGTAACAAATGAAAAGTCAAAATCCAGATTGCTTCAATATCATCAAGGGAATAGAAAAGAAGAAGACATTGATGATCTATTATTCTTTTTCCATTTACACAACTGATATTGATTGTAAAGGACGAGTGTTGATGATAGTGATGGTAGGAAGTTGTTTCTCTTCGGTGATTAATGCTGATGAATTACTCATCAACAAGGCCCGATGTTCAATATCATGAATGACGAATGAATCTAAATACACATGTCTGCTGATACATTTGTCTCCTTTCTATCTGTATATGTATATCGAATGGACTTCAGATCGATTCGTCTCTGGACACATACATACAAAACGTGTGTGTATGTGTGTTGACATCTGATAGGGTTGAAGCGTGCGCGTGTCTTGCCGAATCGACCGTATGATATACGGGGCGGAGAGATTGGACGGCAATTAGTTTTCAGTGTAATCACTCGAGAATGGCATTTACAAAAATAAAAAAATGAAACGGTGTTCATTTCCGAAATAGTACGTTTGAAGTAGTGATACTCAATTACACTAGCTAGTTTAATCAAGTTGCCATTTACAAAGAAAAAAAAAGAAAGAAAAAAGAAAAAATCAAACGTAATGAACAAAAGAAAAAGAAATCTTTTTCTTCTTCCGAATTAATCAATGGATGGATGATACCAGAAGGAGAAAAAGAAAACGATAGAAATACCAATTGTTTATGTCAGTCAAGCAAGACCAGCTATAGTCAAACTAACAGAAAAGAAGAAAAGACGTTGATGCTTGTTTAATTATTTTCTCATTAATCCGTTAATTGGCTGCATGGTATTGTATGCTTAAGACATAGAATGAGAAAGGGAACGAAAGAAATAGATAAGCGTAAAAATAGTAGCAAGAATCTGCTATTATTATCGGATCGAAAGACAATAATTATTTTCTCGTCTCGTTGACGTTTCGGAAGACTTCATCTTTGTCGTGAAAGTCTTTTGTTTTCTTTTACCTCTTGAATTCGATGAAACTATGGACAAATGCTACTGGCGTTATTGGTAGGTATCAATCTCATTCTCATTCTCTTCACTTCATCATCTTTATGTGTAAAAGATTGATTGCATGAGAAAAAAAAGAAATAAAGACAACGGTACACAAAACCCAATTCTTCTATCTATTTGTGTCTCGTCGTACAGAGGAAGTACACACACACAGACTATTGACATATACATATATGTATACACACACACACACACTCGTATTCGCATATTCACTCTCATCAAACTAGATTTTCATTGTTGTTTGTTTAAACAATCCGAATGAGCTCAAAATTCGATCGTTGTCATTGTCCATAAGAAAAGAATAAGAAGAGCACATCTGATGGCGCGACAGCACGTTACGATGGATGAACAAACGTGAAATCTATGCTGCGTCATCCATTCGAAGGTGTATGTTAATCTTTGTACTTGAGCGTGTGTATAGAAGCTGGATGAATGAATGTGAAAGGGGGGATCAAAGTAAATAAAGAAGAAAAAAAGAACGAACAAACGAAAGTATGTATGCAGTAGTAGAAACAAGAATAAAGTTTTTTTTTTTCTTTTTTTTACTTTGTCTCCCTTATCTCTCACTTTCTTCTATTATCTATCTTTCTTTCTCTCAATATGTATGTATGTCTATGTGTGCACAATGTCGATCCTCCATAACTTTTGCGATTTGAGATGGTGATGATGAATAATGAAAATTCGAGGACGTGATCGACTCAGCGACACAACAACAAGTAAGCTTGACATTTTCTTATAAATGTAATACGGACACTCGCATTGTTCTTTCATCAACGATAAACGTATATTGACTATGTCATCTGTTTCAGTAGAAAATATAAATATTATTTTGTTTCGTTTCTTTTCTTTTTTTGTTTAGAAATGAACTATTTAATATTGGAAATCTGTGTTTTTTGTATTTTGTATATCTAATATTCTACACTTCCTTCATACACAATCTGTATTGAACTATGATTGGTGGCTGAGTAATACAAAAAAAGCGTGATTTATTCCCATTGGACTCTTTTTTTTTGTCTCTTCTCTCTACTCACACATAAGCATTCGCGCGCATATAGTGCTGTATGAGTATAAGAAATCGGATATTCACTCTCCCACTCGTTCGTCTGCTCGCGCACACTTCTTTTATTGTATAAAAATGCAAATATGCGAATGTGCAAGAGAGAAAAAGAAAAAAAAGCGGAGTTAGTCCTATGTGCGAATTTCTCTCTCTCTCTCTCTCTCTCTGTCTTGCTCTCCGTAAAAAGAGAACGTTTTGTTGGAAGAGAAATCTTTCTATCGTGCACTTTTTTTTCTCTTCGTCTCATCTCGTTTTTATCAATCAAACTGATTTTGACCTTTTTGAATAAATGGTATTTTCATTAGATTTATAGTCTCTCACATACGTACGCTTCAAAGTTGTGTCATCTATTCACGGCAGCAACATTTTGCGCTCTTTAGGTAAGTGATCTTTCTTCTTCTTTGCTGATTACTTCGCTCATGTGATTTTGGCATCTGATCAAATACACCTGTGATAATGATATTTGTTCACTAAAAAAAAAAAAAAGAAAAGGTCTAAATCAGCAAAGAAAGAAATATTTATGTCTTCAATATGACATATCAAGATGAAAAAAAAAGAAATAAAATGCTGATGACATTAAAAATATCGATGTCAATAAAAAAGAGGAAGAAGAAAAGATAGTGACATTTATTCGGAATTCACAGTAATCTTCTTCTTTTTTTATACTATGTGTCCAACGTTACTATTACTAAATGGACTATGATCTTTTCTTTTCTATTGAACTCTGTAAATATACACTTATGGATAATATTTTTTGTTCTCGTATATACAAGGAAAAAATTCTGTTAAGTTTCCTTTTTGATCTTGAAGTATTACCTATTTAGATCTGTTTTACTTTCGTTGTTGTTCAGTATAACAAGTCGAAAAATAGACGATAATAAAAACGAGTAAGAACGAAGATCTTAATTGATCATTCGTATGATGAGTTCATAAATAAATACATTCGATTGGATAAGATTATGAAATAATATTGTCCAATCATTTTTGTTTCCGAATTAGACACTGGCTGATGTATTGATGAGTTTGTCCATTTTGAAAATCTTCAATGTACGACGAATTCTCGAGTTTTGCGGCTTTTTTTATACATAGGGAGTAAGAAATGATATATCCTACCGTTGATGAAACAAGCAATGACGATGACGACTGTCTCGTCTTTATATGTATATACATGTGCTCTAACGCTGAACTTTCGGAGCGCTATTCACTGATATTTAGAAGCGAAAAGTCAATGTATTATCAAAGAGAATATCGTCGTTTTTTTCTCTTTTTTTTTTCTCTCTCTTTATTCTTGGTGGCCACTGTCTATGTGTCTGTCTCTATGTGTACATGCACAACGATAAGGTCGCGTCATTTCTAAAAATGTTAAACATTCTTTTTATGCCATTTTGGGCACACGCCCGCCCGCTGTCGTCATCGTTGCGCGACATAAAAGGTTAGTTATGTGTTTAATTTCTATATTTGTGTACGGATGGACATCTAAATATGTATCTATACATATATACATATACTTGAACATACATATAAAAAAAAAGAGAATTGAGAAAGAAAAAGAAAGAAAACAAGTTTTATAGAGACATAGTTTCTTTTTTTTTTACTCCCAAACATAGTATAAAAATTTGTACCTGTCAATCAGTGACACATGTGTTTAATGGCGGTAAATTTGTTTTAATAAAATGATCCTCGTGTAAATGATCGCTACATGTGCATATGTATACATTACTACAACTAATGAAGTTTGAGAAGTGTGTGTGTATTGACGGCATCACTTTTTTGTAGCTTTGATCGTGATGAAATAATTATAAAAACATTGAATTAGGATGAGCAAGTGAATTAAACCGAGCATTTCTATCCACTTGTTATGTACTTATCTGTACATATATATATATATATATATATGGAGAGAGAGAGATTTACTAAATCTATTTTTTCTCTGAACTTTTCCGAACATAGACAATGATAAATGGCCATGTAATTGAGTTTGTAAAAAACAAAAAAAGAATGTCTAATCGATATGTCGTCACATAGAATATACAAGAAAATTATTGTTTTTATGATCTTGTACATGAGATAACTTATTTTTATGTTTGAAGTTTCTTGTTTTCTCATTCATCATCCGGATGTTCAATTCTTTTGTGTTGACAGGATACTAGTTGTTACAGTTCACCTCGTATCTACGTGCTGTCCCTTTCGGATATCCTGTACATACCATCATCAAATGTATTGAATACCGCACATACACATACGCAAAAGCTCATACATATGCTGTCAGCTAGTCAAATTAGCTTCGAGATGTTTAGCAATCATTGTCGTATTTTCTTCTTCTTCTTTTTGTTCTTCTTTCCTTTTATTGTATAGAAAAAGAAGAAAATCTGGAATTAATTTAAGATCAGGAGTCTATATCTTTAATGAATGAGAAAGCGAACAACACGTGTTCGAACTGTCAGAATCAACAACATGAAATTCGTATAATGTAAACATACAAGTAGACAGATACAAAGACTTGGTCAAATTGTAAGCAAGCCTATAATTAACTCGAGAGATTATAAAAGAAAAAGAAAAAGCGAAGAGTAAATTAGGCAGTGATAATGATGATGAGCATGAACAGTAATATGAGCCAGGATAATAGAAAGAAGAATAAGCAAGTAAACGCGTGCGAAATGCCACAAAGGGTATCCGGCTATGTTCGTTAGTCGACCTTTTCTGATTTATATGCACGCGAATATAATGATGAACCAAAAAAAAAAAAGAAAATAAAAATAAAAGAAAGAATTTATAATTAAATATGATGAAAACGAAAGAATTGTAATGAAGAAAAAAAAAACAGAAAAAGTATTATTTAAAATATTTAAAAAACTAAATTAAAAATGTTTCTTCTAGTGCTCGTATGATGAATACAGATAATCTTGGCGTTAGTGGACCAGGTGTTGGTGTCACCAATGATCCATATGGTCATCATCACCTTACTCATCCTCATCTTCTTCCACCTCATCATTCACAACATCCATCGACAATCTATTGTTCTTCATCAAATCCTTATACGGACTTATTTTCTCCATTTTCAACTGATTTTGTAACATCTCACGACACTGGTACGAATACCGTTGTACCAACTGATTATCTTACATTACCAAATTCTCTCGATTATGTTGTTTCACATAATCATCATCATCAACATCAACATCAACAACAACAACAACATCTTCATCAAATGACTAGTTCATCAAATGGAGAACGAACATCATCATCTGTTGGTACTGGTATTAATAGTTCTAATGTATCTCCATCTCATTCATTTGCTACAAGTAGTGGTTATTCATCATCAGCTGACTATTATAATGCATCGATACTTAACTCTAAAATAGGTCTTAATAATACAAATACAACTACTAATAATAATAACAATACATCAACAACAAATACAAGTAGTCATAGTCCATATGATGGCACATCAACAGCAACTACATCATCACCACCACAATCAACAGGATATTTAACTACAGCAGTTAAACAAGAAACCATGATGCCAACACCATTTGCCATCGATCCACATAGTAATTATGGTACAAATTAAATTTATTTTTTGTTATTTTTTATTCTAATTTAATTTTCTTTTGCTATTTTTGTTGTAATAGGAAATATTAATGGAACAACATCGGCAACTAGTACTAGTAGTACAAATAATAATAATAATAATAATCCTAATTTCGGTCTGGGTGTCGATGAGTATGGCTCGCCATTATATCATCCATCGGCAGCTAGTGCTTATTCATCATATTCACCAACGGGTCTTTTACAAGCATCTTATCCAGTTGTACCTTATGGTGTATCCCATGCCGATCAGATGCGATTATATAATTCACAATTAAAAAATGATTTTGGGTAAATAACGAAATGATACTTTTTTATTTTTCTATTTTTTTTGTTTTGAATTATTTAGTATCGATATGCGTTTTAAATTAGTTGGTAATCAACGAGTTTCACCAAACGCTGATGTATCTCCATCACAATTATGTGCTGTTTGTCAAGGTAAATAATTTCTAAACATATACAATCTATTTTTGATGATTATTTATATATATATATATATATATATAGATTCAGCTCAATGTCAGCATTATGGTGTTCGAACTTGTGAAGGTAAGTTGATTATATCTATTTCTTTATTAGTATTTTTTCTTTATTGCGGTATCCTTTTTTTCTTTTGTAGGATGCAAAGGATTCTTCAAAGTAAGTTAAACTGTCTACTACTGGATAATCTCTTTCAATCAGATATATAAATAAAAACAAAAAAGAAAATTATATATGGATATTTGAACATGATTCGATTTTTGTTGATTTATTTATTTAGCGAACAGTACAAAAGAATGCTAAATATGTATGTTTGGCAGATAAAAATTGTCCAGTTGATAAGCGACGTCGAAATCGATGTCAATATTGTCGATTTCAAACATGTCTTGCTGTTGGCATGGATAAAGAAGGTAACATAAAAAAGAAATGGCAAAGAAATCTGTTGAATAAGAAGATCATCTTTCATTCTAAAAAATGCCATCTATACTTTTTTGTAAAGCAATCAGTGACGCATTGAATAGTATATATAAGAACTTGCCTTTTGATCAAGTCTTAATATTTAGTTTTATCACTTACAATTTTTATAATATCCCTTAACTGATATATATATATATATGGATATTCAGAATATTAACACTTGACGAAAAAGTAGTTGCCTATATACCATTCGATGCGCCGCGGGTTGCTCTATAAGACGGTATAGATGGCTTTTCAAAAGAAGGATTCTAATTTTTTTCAGCAGAGTTCTTTTACATGACTTATTTTTATTTTTGTTTAGTTGTTCGGACAGATGCATTAAAAGGTCGCCGTGGTCGTCTACCGTCAAAACCTAAAAGTCCGAGTACACGACAACCAAATAGTTTTCAAACTCAATTTTGTCGTTTCTATAATGATTCCATACCAAATCCGGCCAGTCTTGATTTCAGCAAATTGAATGTAAAGTGTCTTTTGTTTTGAATTGAAATCTATTTAATGATTACATTTTGTTTTTGTTCTTTTTTTATTTTATTTTAATCTAGTATCGAACAGTGACAAATAAAGAAAGTTTATGTGAAGAAAAATTACTTGTCTATGATGCATTCATACGTTCATGCGATATAATTAAGCAATGGGTTGACAAATTTTCATTATTTTATTCTATACAAAATAATGAACGTGATCGTCTTTATTCAAATTGTTTATTAGAACAAATTGTATTTCGTACAGCATCACGTCTTGATGGTGATCGTGTTATATTATGCTCAGGTATTGTTGTACATAAAGTACAAATGAATTATTTACTTGGTGATGTTGCACAACAAATTTATGATTATGCATCAACATTAAAACTTCAAAAAATTGATTCAATTATTGCAGCAACACTTGCATCAATTTTATTACTTGATTCAAACAATCCTGGTAAAAAGAAAAGAGAAAAAGATTTTTTCGTATTGAAAAAGAAAGTTTTTTTTTTGTTTTTACTTTTAAGATTACGTTTATCATCGAACACCATTATCATCAACAGTTACTGAACTTTATCAAAAAATAGTTGATTCCTTAAAAGATTATTTAAAACAACAACATGAAGATAGTTCTGTTTATTTACAATTATTAGAACGACTTAATGATGTTAGACATATTGCACATAATTTAAGAAAACGTTTATCACTTTATCGACATACAACCGGACTAACAAATTCAATGAATACATTACTTGATTTAGTGTATGTAAAATTTTATTATTAAAAAAACAACCTAAGAATTATTTATTTTAGACTTGAATGTAAACCAATATCCACCGATTTACAAACAAATGAAGATAATACAACGTTACCATTTATTCAATATGATCTATGACCAATTCGTTTTTTTTCTATTTATAGACATATATACACAAGTATTATTTAAATCCATTGCCACCATCACCGATGTTCTTCAGTAGTTATTAAAGTCATACGGGTCACACCTTTCTGTCTTCCATGATCCACGTACACACCCATTTTTGATTGTCTTTCGTTCTTTTCTTTATTGTTGTTGTACAGCAGATTATTAATGTTGATGATAATAATGACTGAGGGACACGCACACATACACACACACTCACACACATACCGTATTTTGTGTCTTCTATTTCTCTCGGTCTTCCATCTAATCCTTTCATGTGCACCATTATCACTACCAAATGACCGATTTGTTCTTATTGCTTGTATACAACCTTTGTGGTTTTCTCTTTTGTTTTCCTATTATCTCTGTCATATAAATGGAGACTGCTTTTTTCTCTCTTTTTTTTTCTATTAACTATTATGTGCGATGCAAAATAAATTCATCAAAACAACATCTACAAATTCATATTTATAGATTATTTTTCTTGAAATTATTTTCAATTATAGATTTTTGAAGATGATTAAGATGAAGAAGATTGACAAAGGTTTCCTGGCAAAAAAAAAATTTATGGAGGAAATGTGTTCATAATTCTTTCCGCATAATTATGCACTTACATTGTAGAGATGAGGTCTCGTAGTAAGAAATTGTTGCCATACATCAGTATTAAATATCTAAGTATAGAAAACAGTCAGTGATATTCTTGTAAAAAAGATGTTGAGAATATTTCTGTGTTTCCACTTAATAGTTAATATTTTAATTTTACATCACCTATGTTGGATACAATATTCACGTATATTCTTCAAATAGAACAAAATGATAATAATGAATTCATTTTCTTATATTCTTCTTCCTTCTAACGAAGAATGTTTTCAACTAATCATCGCTTTCTTAAGAAAGGCTACTGAATGATGGCTTATCGACCATACCTGATTTAGAATATGACCATGACAATACATCTTAGATTTTTATATGTTGGTTTTCCTGACTAGCAAGCTTTTCTCTAAAATAGATTTCTGTATTTACAGAGAAACATATCCAACTGTCGAAGACCGTTGGACTTCACATTATGGCTACGAGTAGGTCTCGATTTTACTGAGAGCAAGACATATCCGAAAAACCCAAAATAAATAGTTTGGAGCAGGAAGGATGTCTATAGGTACGCTTGATAATCACTAGATAGTATTGAAAGTTTCAACGAAAACGAAAATGTCTTTCTCAAAATATTTAATTTCCATGTGAACTAAATTGCTTTGTTCTCGTATTGTAAATCACTAGTTTTTTTTTCAATATTGAAGATTTCGAGAAAGACATATTCGTTCCCGTTGAAATTTTCAAGAGTATTTAACCCTTTGAGTACGGGATTATTTTTATATAGTAAAAATTTTTATAATTTCAAATTAACATTTATTTTGCAAACAAATATCACGAAATACATGATTCAAAATACTATTAGAGTGCGATAGTCTTTAAAACGATCCATAAGACACAATCCTACATCACATTCAATACATTCATTTAAAGTATCTCTTCTTGACTTGGCTATCCTCACAGCATTAGTCCAAACGTAACATTTTCTTCTTGAATTTACTTGAATTGCTGTAGATGCATTGTGTGAAGGAAAATGTCGTGCTGGGAGTCAGAGTGAACTTTCAGAAGGTGACCAACTTTTGTCCTTTATGATCTTTTATGTCAAAAAATGTACTTTATATGATTTATTCAATGCGATCAACTGATCAGGATCTTTCCTATAGATGGTGCTCTTGAATGATTGTCGTAACACGAAACATTCGTTCGCGAGCGATGGCTCTTTTTCGAGACATGTTGTCAAATTGGCTCATGTTCTAATTCATTAAATCACGTGTTGATTGCTAGAAATATTAAGAAATAACCAATAATCAACACTAGGTATGGATAATCTTAACCGTACAAATATTCTAAATGCAAATACTCATGCAATTCATATCATTAAATAATCAACAGATTGTGTTTTTTTAAAGTTATTCAGGTTCCAAAATACCAGGACGCAAATTCGCGTCGGCTGTTTTCAATGGGTTAATGACTATCAATCGTACCTATAGGCATAATTTTAGCTCGAAACTTTTTGTTTTGAAGTTTTTAGAAAGATCTTGCTCTCAGTAAAAATGTCCTTAGAACAACCATAACTCATCCATAGCAGATTATAGGCTCAAATCCTTTTAACCTTTTCTTAGTGCCACCGAGACCTACTCGTATCTATAATGTGAAGTTGAACAACGTTTGACAATTGAATATGCTCTCTCGTCAGATTATAGAGCACATTTAATTGTCTATAAGTCCATAATATTTTTTATTTTATAAAAACGATTTTTAACATGGGAACGACTTTTCTCAATTCCCGTTTTCCGTTCTCGTAATGCTTTCAGAATTGATATTACGATTTCATTTTTCGTATTTGAGAGAAACTATCATTACCAGACATTAGTTTCTGTCAATGCCACACTTTGTGCAACATGAAACGGTCTTAAATTACAAATAAAATTATCATTGGAAGTACATTTTAGTAAAATAAATCAATTATTATTTATACGTCGAAGTTTATCAACATTATGCTCAGCTGAGGGAATCTTTTTCTTCATCAGTTGAACAATCGAAAAGAGAAAATAAATACTTGCATATCAACAACACCAATAAAAAACAAAAACATTCAAAAGTAGAAGATAATTATAGGACTATGTTACAAGCTAATTGGAATAATCGTCTTTTCGAAAATGATAATCATAAAGGAAACAATTGTTCTGATAATTGAATGAATCATGAGTTAATTCATCTAATTTGTGTTATTTTTCTTTCATTTAATAAGTGATACGAAAGTCTTTGTAAAAATGTTGAAATCTATTTCTCAACAATTTGACATTGCACTGATTTCGACATCTTTTGTCGGGAAAATCAAAATTTGGAGAGCATATATATATAAAAGATAAAACCAAATTCGGGAACATCTATTCTTTTTTATTTTCTTTCCGTTCCCAATTCCGGTTGAAAATGGAGCAGGAAAAAAGGGATCAAATCAATCCTGCAGGACATTAAACAGTTTTGTCAGTCTAGAAAACCAGTGTAGAAAGATCTAAGAGAATTTTTCATGGCTATATTCAGAACTAGCATAATTGATAACCTATAATTCAGTGACTTCCATCATTCAAGAGAGAAATAATTTTGATTTTTGTCACGTTTTATGTAGAAGACTATTCCTTTTTTCTTCATTATCTCATAATATATACCTGCGGATATTGCTGACATAAAAATGTAAGCACACGATTTTTAAGTATTTTCATTTGTTTATCATCTGCTAATTGTAATAGTTCAAAACAATTTTTTTGTGTTACATGATTCAGACATTTTTTTGTTAAAATATTTTTCAATTGAAATAATCCAAGTAAATCAGCTGCATTTAATAAATCACGAATTTCATCAATTGAAAATTCTCCAATACATATTTCAATTTCATTAGTATAAATATATTTTAAAATACGTTTAAGAATAATACCATTAACAAAATCTATTTGAATTTTATTCATTTGTTGATTCATAGAAATAAGTTCGGCAAATTTTTCACATGATGTACATAGTATAAGACGATGTACATGAAATTCTTGACCATCTGAAGAATAAATAATTATATCAGTAAATAGCTTTTGCATTGACATATGCCAAAATATATTGCCATTAGATAATTCTATCATAGAATTAGGATGATTATAAAATCCATTGGCATCACCACTTGATATATTCGAATGAAGAGGTTGTTCAAAGAATAGATTTTTAAGAATTTTCTTGTTATAAGACATAGATTGCCAATTATTAATTGTTGATGAACATTCATAGATAATTAATTTGATCGAAAACAAAATATTATTTGACGAAATAGAGAAGATTGTATCATGAGGTAAGATAATCAATGCTCGATTAAAATGTACTTGATGACGACCTTCAGTTTTTAATTGATTTAAAATACCATCATCAGCTACCTCAAATACTATTCTTTAAAGATGAAAAATTCTTGATGAGATTAATATATAAATAATTACCTTGATAGTTAGTTTCAAAGAGTGTTTGAGAAGATTGTTCATATTCATTTATTTTTAGAATTTCAAATGCACAATATGACTTAACATTTGACAATGATTCTTCTTCACTTGTTGTAATTGAATATTGTGGTAAAGTTTTTAATATATCATGATTTAATATCGGAATGTGAACTGTTTCTTTTGATGATATTACTTTCTCATCGTTTTCGTTCGTTGTTGTTATTGTTTGTTCAATATTTGATATTGGTTTTAGTAAAATTTCATTGAGTAATTGATTAAGAGCTTCTATATATGACAATGAAGTCTGATTTTGTTTGTTGTTTATCATATTTCGAAGCGTATTGAGTAAAGTTTGACGTGTATTTTCGTCATTTTTTGAAACTTCATTCAATGCACTATTATTACCTGCCTTTTCACAGCATTCATTATGATTGATAAAACAAAATGAATTTTTATTTTTTGATGCTCTGGGATAGAAGCGGATAATCCAATGCAAAAGTCCATTTTCACCAGTACAGCCAAATGGACTCGATTGTTGATAGAAATCTTGTTTTTGATTGTTTAAAGATTGAATATCGGATAAAAACCAACGATGAACAATAATTTGTTCAGAACATATTTTGTATAAATCTCTATTTGTTTCTTTTCTATTGTCTTTATTTTCTGTAGAATAATTGTTCGAATCACTTTTCTCTTGATCTTCACTAGAATTTGTTGATGTCGTACCACTTTCATCGGTCCACGATTGTGAATTGCTCATAGATGTATTAGAAAAAGATCATGATATTTTAATAACAAGAACGAAATATGTCATAAAAACAATTTAGAAAATAAGAAATAACTATGATATAATTTCAATACGAAACTTTCTTTTCTTTTGCATAGTTACAAATAAATTTCAATTAACCCAAACATAGAAAGAAAGAAACATATTGCAGAACTTTATATTTGTTTCTTGTTTGTAATACAGGAATGTGAGACAGGTGTGTCTAGATGTTTCGTGAATGCACGCAAGCGTAGGTTGTTTGTTTTTCTTGTATATATGTATGTGTTCGATGCACACTGGCAATTATCACCACGATGATATTTGCCGAAATGTTACCAGTGCATTGGTATATCTATGTATGTATGTATGCAATCGACAACCGTTTTGAATTACAAGAGAGAGAAAAAAAAAGAAAGGGCGATTTGGTAGCTCATTTTTTCGATCATCATTGATCTGCATCGATAATCATTTTTCTTAAATTTTTGTTTTGTTTCATTTTAATTGTATGGTTATGTATGTGTTTGCATTGAAAAGATCACGAGAGAAGTCGAGCAATCGGATGCCGATCTATCAATAATGGCGTCGTCAATGTCATGTCCTTTACCCATGACAAAAGAAATAGTTCTTTGTCGACTCACATCACCCACCAATCAAAGAATGTATATATAAACACATACGCCAATCTTGTCGTTCTTTCCGGTAGTATTGATGTGCTCTCTATACTCATCATCTATCTAGTTACAAATGTTCTTTATTCGATATGACTACAAAGATTGGGAGCATGATGAGAGAGAGAGAGAGAGAAAAAACAGCGAGCAAGAATGAGAGAAAGTTTCACCGACGTTGTCGTCGTGGGTGCCATATCATCATCATCACCATCACAATAACATTGCCTGAAGGTTTCATCTACCACCAGTTGCAACTAATCAGGCTACTTTTGCGTCTCGCGACTGTTGATCTCTATCTCGACATCTATTCTTTCATTCATCTTTCAACATATCTTATAGGATGGTATGAGTACTTTGCTTTATTTGTACATTTTGATCGATGCACTGATGATGAAGACGTAACCAACAGAATGAGAAAGAGAGAGTGAGACAACAACAGGTGTTACTGTCTGTTATATAGCACTATTAAGAAACAAAAAAAGTGTGCGTATGTTGTGCCTATTGTTAGTCGAAAGAAAGAGATACAAATTGCTCAAAATACATATAATGTCCGTTGTTCTAGAAACGATCAATGTGTGACGAAACAGAAGAAAATCTTGTTGAAGATCCTGATTCTGAAGATGAGACAACAGCAGTAACAATAGCAACAACAGAAACATCAATACCAACTAATACAACAGTCATGAAAACTGTTGTTAATGGTCGAAAATCTCTACGAACACCTAAATGTGCCCGATGTCGAAATCATGGTGTTGTCTCTTGCCTTAAAGTAAAAAATCCATTAGAGACAACAACAATCTTTTTTGGATTCTATTTTCTAGGGTCACAAAAAGTATTGCCGATGGCGTGATTGTACGTGTGCAAGTTGTTTATTAGTTGTGGAACGGCAACGTATTATGGCTGCGCAAGTAGCTCTACGCAGGTATATCATTTTATGTTGTTAATGAAATATAAAATACAATAGAAGAAAAGAGAAAATTATATCTTCAAAAACGTTATCATAAGTTTTCTTGTTTTTGGTATATATTTAGACAACAAGCAACAATAAATACAAATAAGACAACAACGATGACAAACAGTAATAAATATAGAAATTCAGCTTTATTTCTTGAACAAAAACGTCTTGCCGTACAAAAAAATTTAAGACAATTACAAGAAAGTTCAATATCACGAGATGTTATTAGAAGTAAAATAATTATTCTATTATATGTTCAATACATCTGATTGTTTTTGTTTTTATTTATTTTTTTTTTGAAAAAGATCTCAAAGCAAAAAGTCATAAGAATGAAAACAATGGAATTAATCGTTTTTCAGCAACCCCAATGCTAAATGATCGATTACGTAAACGTCGTTGTTTTGCTGATAAAGAATTGGATAACATTCCAGCAATATCATCAACACTTGAGACTATGGTGACAAACAGTGCTTTTCGTATGGCTAATCTATCTCGTTTTCGTTCACGAGATACATCATTGTCATCGTTTCCTTCCCAAAAATCAACACAAAAGAAATGGACTGATTTTTCTGTAGCAGCTATCATTGGCCAGAGTTAATCTATTTTATACTGTATTATTATATATGTATATCTTTCGAAGAAAAGAAAGAGCTATTTTTTGTGTTTATTTCTTGTATTTGAAAAAAAACAAAAATCACAATCATTAGTGAGATCATTAGTATAAAGAATTGTGAATTTCATATTCTCAGATTATAAATTAATCTATCATTTTGATCAACAATCTTAAAACTATTTTCATTCAAAATATTACAATATGATGCACTGTAATATTAAATATTATTTAATAATGATAGATCACATTACCGATATCATTGAATAAGGAAAACTGTGTTTCATTCATATCGGATTTTTTGTTTTAACAAGGAAAAATGAAATAACTTTCGACAGTTATAGCTGATATAGTAGACTCTAGTGAGATGTAAAAAATCTCAAAAGAATAAGTTCTCTTAGACCTTCTATATCAGAGTTGTAGGCATTTTATAGGAATTTCAGCCTCCGACTTGATATATATAAAGACGTTGCATGATAATATTATATTTTGAACTGAAATAATAGAATCTCATAAACAGAAAATTCTAGCATCTTTTGTGAAATATGAGTGGTTTTGGGGACTTTGATATGTCAGAAAGAAAATATCCTTTTGAGCTGGAATTTTCAGAACATTCTAGCACTAAATAGATCTCTTCATGGGCAAAATCTCAGGTCAAAATATCATCGTTAGATTTGTTGATATATATACCAAGCCAGAGGTTACAGTTTCTGTAAAATGTCTATAACTCTGAATAGAAGTTCTAAGGGTATTCATTCTTTTGATGTATCTTATCTGTTACTGGAGTCTATCTCAAGTACAAAGTCCGAAGTCAAAAGAGGTGGATCAGTTGAAAACATTCCCTTGTCAATGAAACTTTTTTCGAAAATTCTTATAACAAGATTTGTGTATAAAAAATAGACAAGTTTTTACTGTAATTAGAATTGTTAGTCGAATGCATATGCATGATTTTGAAACGTTTGTGTGAAGATTGATACTTCAATATTCAACGTAGATTAAGAGAGATTTTTAGACATTTATTATTTGAATTGTATCTAGAAACATATGTGGCACGCAAACCAATATAGCAATGGCATTAATAGCCCTCTTTGCTATGCATCATTGACTACATCTTTTAGAATTATGTGTATACATAAATAGAATAGATTCTTCTTCATAACCTTATTCACTGTTCACGACATTTGTTGTATTATCAAAGTAGTAATGGGATACTTTGCATAGACAACTTTTGCTTCTATTTCATGTGAATTTATCTGACAATTTATATTCTGTGTAAGACAGGAAAACTTATTGTATTCCATCAACATTTCAAGGTTATTTCTTTGAAAAAAAATTAAGTTTCATATGATTTGATATTGTTTATATATACAACGCTGAATAAATATGTCAATGTTTTCTAACTTCACTGTATATTTCAAATTTCTTTTTTTGTAGGAATATTGATTGTATGATTATAGATATGAAATCGAATTTTTCGAATTCGTACAAAACGAAATGTCTCCATTTATGTCAATATTATGTGTTGATGCCAGAATGCATACCATCCTTTGTCCGATGATTTTTCATAAGAAATATACTAATGAAGGTTATTGTTATTGATAGAAAATAATATGATAGAAACATATGGCAAAATGATGTTACTCCTGAACATGATAAAAAGAATCACATGTGTACGTTCCTTTCTTGTTATGATCAATACTATTTGGAAGGATACGAGTTAGATTTGATGTACATGCCAGTTAAATAGATTATTTCAACAAGAATAAAATAATCGAATACACCTATCGTTTATTTTCTATTTACATTCAAAATATATTCCTTTACTTATAGTGAATAAAGTTTCCTCTATCTATTGCACATATGACGCTATAGCTATAAGGTTAGATAAATTAAACTTGTCTCGGTTTGCTTCTAAACGGTATGAAACGAATTTTTATTTAAAGCGCAGATCCAGATTTCAATTCAAAATGATAATGAAATAACTAAAGTAGTTAAATGTGGCATCGTAACGATAAAATAATAATGCATGTGATTGAAAAGTAAGACTCGTCTAGAAGGTAAGAGTGTTCAAGACGTCGAGAGATTATATTCAATGTAAATTATTGATAAGTACCAGTTTGATGATTACATGAATAAACTGAAACATGTTATTCGTTTTATAACGTAATCGATATACTCAAATATATCAAAACACTTGATATGCTCGGTGGCGAATAACTTTGGATACAGCAAGAATAGACTTTTCAACAAGACAATGATCCAATGTATAGCTCAATACTTCTAAAAAACAACTCGTATAATATACTATAAAGATAATGTTTTGATCGAGAGTTAGAAGTGAGCAGGCAGGTTTATTTTTTGGCAATTTTAAGGGCGCTGAAACTAGTCTATTTTGCTTGTTTTTTTAGATTTTTCATGGTTTTAAATATCCAAACGTATGAACTTCAAAGTCTCCAACTGACAAATTTCTAGTCATCATGAAAATTCTAGCTGTAAATATTGCCCACATGAGTTCTCATTGCACGATAAAGGTTGCAGTTCATGATAAATGAACTAATTATGAAGACGAAAAATTAGCCAACCATCAGAAATTAAAGTTCATCTAAAGTAAAGATGTTTCACTTCGAAATTTCGAGTTCTTTTTGCTGAACTACTTTTAAACAATTGTCAACAATTCTAAATCGGTTAGTTGTTTCAAGTCGATTCTTTCGATACAAAAATATGAGAAAAGATTCCATTCTATTAAGAAAATTATGCTAACCGATAGGGTCATACAACTGTGAGAATACCTGCGCATTAAGAAACCCGAAATATATGAAGTTTAGTACAAATTCATATTTTTCAGACAGTAGTATCCGTCTATGAATTGAGAAGTCTTTAGTTATTTTGAGTAATGATTTCAAATAAGACTAGATAAAACTTATCAATTCTTATAAAGAAATGATATCTTAACTAAGAAAAGTCAGGCAAAACATGTCACAGATGTCGTTCAACACCAGGCGTTATTAATTACTAGATGAAATCCTTTGAAAGAGTTTTTCATTTGTTCTTAACATTAGAGTACATAGAATGTAACACATTCAAATCAAAGTTGTAATTATTAGAAACTGCAAGAGTTATATGAGTTTCACATTATATGTCTTCGTGACACTGTAATAATAAGATTTTCTCGAAATAACTAGTTGGTTTATTGATACATTAAACGGATAGGTTTTTCGCCGACCGGTTCCGTCAAAAAAGAACCGAACCAATTTCAAGTTTGCTATGACCTCTCTTGAATTTTGATATATATGTGACAGAGAACTAATCATCATTACTTCATATTAAAGAATCAACAATGAAGTCCACTAATATGTAAGAATTGTTGAAACAAAAATCAAAGAAAGACATCATTTACATGCAAGGAAACTGCCTATGCCAAGATCACAACGACTATGTTACATTTTGTCCAAATGTTCATATTTATCGTATGTGTAAGCGATAATAAATGTTGATTCTAAATGTGAGTGTGCTTTTGATGTATTATGATAACAAAATATTGTTGGCTACAGTCATTTGTGTATGTTGCTGCTTAGTGATACTAATTATCTTTTTATAAGGTACAATTCGTACCTTTTTGCTTGAAAACGAATTATTATTAATTTTTCTTTTGGATTGATCATTATTGCTGCAGATGTTAAATAAATTATTTGTTCAAAAAAATCCTAATGCAATTTTTTCAGATGTAAATACTCAATAAAACGTGTATTCATTTCCGTATCATGCCATCAGTTTTCTAAAAGTAATATCTTTGAAGTCTGTAGGAAACGACATAGGAATCTCTTTAAATGTTGATACATAATTTTCAAGTGAAAGATTTATAAGAAATTAGATTTCACTAGTAAATGATCACTATTAAGATGCCCTAAAAGTTTTCTGAGGATATTACTGGTGAAAAATTTGAAAGTTTTCTTTTTCATGAAAATTTTCTTGAAAAAACTAATTAGTAGATGAACCATTCAATGACATGTCTTTCGAGTTAAAGATAAATGAATGTAAAACAATATTAGATTTATAAATTAGTCAGACTATAACCATTTGATAATTTTGGTTTTATATAATAGAATCTATAAACTTGAGAATGATCGTCAACTATAGTTGTTAATTTTGCATTCTTATAGAGATGATACTAAGTTATATAAAGCCATAAATATAATGACATGATTTTTATTTACGAGAAGAATCAATAACAATATAAAAAACTATGATACATTACTAGAATGTACATTATTTCGGTTAGTATTCATCGGAGTAACAACTGCAGTATAAGGAGGTGGTGGTTGTTCAATAGGTATTGACCAACATATTTGAGGATAGTCTAGTTGATGATGATGAGGTTGAGCTAAAACAACAACTTGCATAGGAAGTGGTGCAATATGTCGATGAATATGATTTAAACGTACACAATACGCCACTATAAATAGAAGTGTGGTTACGACAGCTAAACCAATGAATGCAGAATATGAAGCAGAAGAAAACATATTACATCAATTTATGTATACGTTTTAGATGAGCAACATTTATAACCTAATGAAATCTTTAGTTGAGTTGACGATGCTGAGTTACAAGGATAAAAAGAAGAAAAAAAACGAGAGGAAGAGAGAGCAAAGAAAATCCTTTTTTTTTTACTTTTCTTTAATAACACCGCTCGGCGGATGAGCATAGAAATTTCCTACTCGTAGAAACTTTTGCGCACGATTTATTCATCAGCTCTGATGACATATTATTATCGGCTAACACTAACTCTACTTAGTGTGAAAAAAGAAGAAAAAAAAAATTATCTATTTTATAATATCTATCTCAAGTAAAAAGTTTTCTCTTCTTTTCTGAGAGAAATTTCAGAAAACTTATTTACGGAGTCTAATACTAACATCCAAACATTCATTATAGTTCAAATGTTCAACAATCGTTCATTGGTAAAAAAATTCAAAGAAAACAAATTTGAAGTGGAAAGTTTTTTTTCATATTAAAAAGAACTATTGTTTGTATATTTGCTATAATTTTTCTAACAATTATTGCAAAGTATTTTTATTTAACCAATTGTTACTCTCAAAACTTGACAGTATAAAATGACCTAGACAATAAAGAAGATTATTTGTTTAATAAAGAATGTTTGTATGTCTTTGTCGCTTTGCATCGGATCAAAACAATCGCATTGTGTCATGTAGAAGAAAGACAGATTAAGAACTTATTTCTCTTCTTTTATGCATATTAAATCAGATCTAATCAACCTTGTCATATTATGTTTTATTCTTAATATGACTAAGTTGATTGAAAATAATGTAGAAACCTTCAATTCACTTAATAATGATTGATTATGACTTAGAGTATTTGTTAAGATTAAAAATACAAGTATTAAGTCAGCAGAGCTATTTTGAACACCGAAGATATATGATCTTAAAAGGCAAATTGAAATGTGATATACACAGAATAGACTTTTAGCTAATATTTCATCATTGCTGACGTTTAATATAATCTAAAATGTTCTCGTCAAGATTTAAACTTTCTCCAACGAATCATGGAGAATTGAATAATACTATAGTTTGTATCTTAAAAAGTAGTATGTTTTGCATTGACTTCAAACTACTTCAAACGTAATTATCGTTTGTCCATGATTTCATATCATGCATTAATGCACTGAGAAATTTGATAATAAACATTCGACTCTTTCCTGTTGAACAGGAGAATTAATTTTTTTAATAGTTTTCTTTCATCGACAAACTTTTCTTCTATTGTTTGGGAAAAATATAAAAAAGAAATGGTCATCAGTCATCAAATCATATAATAATAGAAGCAAAAAGAGACAATGACATATATATGTTGACAAGACACTGAAAGCCCTAAAGCATTGAATGTGTCATGTATATAACTGAAGAAATAAGGGAGACAAAAATACGAGACAGCCGTATTTACAATCATACGTGATTCCCGATATGAAGAAAAAAAAGTGAACATATCTAAGTTTACCAAATGAAAGAAAAAAAAGAAAACAAATAAAGAACGGATAAACATACAAGCATCTGCATAGAAAGATCATCCCTGAAGAAGATAATCAAGAACGAAATAAAAAGAAGAAAAGAAAGAAACACGTCACCGAGTTCTTAAAGAACCGGACACGAAAAATAATAAAGGTAACTGAAGATATCAATCAGTCACAACAACAACAGTTGTATTTGTTGAACATTCTTCATCTTGTTCTTCTTGCTGCTGTTGATGATGATTATTTGTAATACGTACATGAAGATCAGTATATATCTGTTCAATATATTGCTTTAACATCATATCTCGTGTATCTGAACTGTGCGTAACCTTTACAAAAAAAAAAAAATAATTAAAGAAATAAAAATAATTCTACCGAATTTTGCGGCCTATTCACAAACAAAATACCATATATGTGGTTTTGTAGAGCAAGTTCTAACATGTTGAATGGTATATAAGAAATCAAGGTTTATGGAAGCTTTTATATGCTAAGAGTAGATGCACTGATTCTAATGCTTAGGAGAATACTATAGGGTACTCATAAATATTGTAATCCATCGGATATTCTACGACAAACTTATACAAGCTTTCTTACATGCAATTCGAAACAGTTATAGGTGTTCTTCGGTTTTCCATAATCAATAGATTTCATTATTGCTTTCTTCATACCTAAAATTGGTGTCCTTTCTTAGGTCTAGGTTATTTCTTGATTACTTGACATTTCAGTGTGTTCAACTTCGTGACACGCAACAAGTGGGGCACATATGAGACTTTCTCAAACATAGTGCATAACCAAGTTCTACATGTTTTACACAGAATATGCTCTAGAACAACAGAAATTCATTATGAGCTAGTAAAAATGTCGCCTGGAATAGATTATTTTCCTATGTAAACGACGCCAATATATTGATGATGTTTTAACAAAACTCAATGGTCCTATTAAAACTTTACGTACAAATAGTCAATACAGCATCTCGGATTAACTAAAATAAATAACTCTTTGAGAAACGGAAAAATGTTTTTTGATCTTCAGACCCCTAAAGGAAAGTACAGGTATCGGGTTGTAGAAAGGAATTCTGTTGTGTTTATTATTGTTTTTTCAAATTTTTAGTCCGAGTATTCATATTTGATTTTTGTATGAAGCTATACAATAATCTATACCTATCTTATGTTCATTTCAAAAAATAAATTTGTTCATATTCTTCTACTCACTCTCAAGGTCTAGAAGCCAAAAGAAAGCTGCTTCCATTTATGAAGGAGTTATTTATATCAGTGCATCAAAGATACTATGCTAATTATTTTATTTGTACATACGAATTTTAAATAGGGCTGCTAAGTATTGTTAAAATGTTGTCAATATACTGTCCCTACGTTTAGGAAAATAATCTATTGTAGGCGATAATCTTACAAGTTCACAATGACTTCCTGCTGCTCTGAAACAATGTTATATGTAAAACATGTAGAGCTTGGTAGTATGCTATATTTGAGAAAGTTTCACACTGGTACTCACTGGTTATGTGGAAGACAGTTAAATACAATAGACTATCATATAACCAAGAAATAATCTAGATCTAAGAAAAGGACCATTTTTAAGAGTGAAGTAAGCAATGGTGAAAAGTATTGATTATAGAAAATTGAAGAACACCTATAACTGTGTATCGAATTGCATTTATAAAAATATTTCTAAAAGTTTATCATAAAATATTCCATAGATTACAAAGTCTATGAACACCCTATAATATTCCCTAAGCGTTATAACCAGTATATCTACCCATAGCACATCAAAATTTTCATAAATCTTGATTTCTAATATACCATTCAATGTGCCGCAATTCATTCTACAAAACCACAAATAAAGCATTCTGATTGGACACGAGCAAGGGGTAAATAGCTGATTCTTGATTAGGGTTGATTAGAAATGATTAGGGAGATGATTATCTTGAAAGCTAATCATCTTCCTAATCATTTCTAATCAAGTCTAATCAACCCTAATCAAGAATCAGCTGTTTTCACCTTGGACACGATCCATCAAATTCGGCGGGATGCTTTATTTACTGATGAATAGAGATTTTCTAATTTATTAAGATGTTTATGAAGATCGTCAACAAGATGATTGATAACTGGCATACGATGATCATTCATAATTGAATCACTAAAATGAAATATTTTAAATAAGACAAAAAAAAGAACCATAACAAGAATTTTATTTTGTAATTTACTCTTGTTTAGTATCATTGATTGTTGTTTCGGATAAGCATGGTGATGGAATTTTATGTGTTTGTTTTATTTGTCTATAATCTGGTATTGATATACTTCGTCGTACTTTCATGTCTTTTTGATTATTATTATTATTATTATTATTATTATCATTTAATGTACATGCTTGTAAGTCACTTGTTGTTTCTAATGAATCTGAACTTTCAATTGAACATGTACTTGATGAACGTTTTGTTGGTTTATTTGGTGATGATGGTATATCTTGTAAAAGTAATGGCTTTAAACCAAGTACAACTGTTCGATAAAAACAATCTTGTGCCCATTTTGGCATAAGATCATTTGTTGTATTATCTAATTCACGTAATGGTAGAACAGATTCTTGCAATGAAGATGATGATGTAGGATGAATATATTGTTTTATCTCATGATTTTCTTTGGTTTGATTAGTTTTTGTTGGTGATGAAGTATTTGATGATGCTGATGATGAAGATGATGATGACGATTGTATAGTAGATGCTGTCGGTAAATTAGGTGGACGTCGCGTAACACGAGAGATTTTTACTCGACGAAACGTTGTAGTTTTTGTTTGTTGCATTGTTGTAGAAGGAAGAATAAGATTTTGAGTTGAACGAGATTTCGTCATATTTTTACTTGATGATATCGAACGAGTATCTAATGAAGCAACAGATGGCATACGGCGCGTTTGAGAATTCATCACTAGTGATGTAGTAGACGATGACGGTACAAACATAGGCACTGATGGTGGTATTGATGATGTTATACCTTCTCGAAGTTTACTCATTGAACTTGATGTATGTGCTGCGTAAGATGGTAAATATGAATGTGACGATGATGATGATGTTGTATCACCAGTAGCATTGTTAAGAGAAAGAGTTGATGAACGAAAACGATCTTCCGATTGAGCTCGATTACCTAAGTTAGAATAAAAACAAATAATGTTCAATACTTTCAGTTTCTTGAATAAAGACCAATGTCACATGTATATCACAAAAGTATAGGCATACAGATAGAATCAAAAAAACTTTTAGCACTGTGAATCAGTCTTTTCCTATTACCCACTAGAATGGGGAGATCTCAGAGGAAACAATTGCACCATAATTGCCTGGATGGTGCATCGTTTATGGCTATAGCTCTCTAGTTAGAAGACCAATCTGATGCAGCATTTGCACGCTCAACTGCTTGAATTCCTTATACCTACTAACTAACCACAGAAGCAGGTGAATGTTACAACGTAGTCCATAAGTTATCGAAAGGGTGATCTAAGACAAACAATCACTAGTGATTTGTCCAGGATCATTACATGATTGGTTGTACTGGAGTTTGAGCGCAGTACCTTGCAAGACGAAAACAGCAGTGACTTCAGTCTTGAAGTCTTCGAGCTATAGCTTTTAATATATGTTGAAGAATCATGAAGTCTTGAGGTCTGTGACTCACTCTCGGCATTTGGTTGATACCTGTCGAACAACGCAATTACTCAGCCGTGGCGGCCAATAAACTCGAAATGACTGCTTAGTGCAAGTCATTTATCCTTGAATATTCTTCTTCTTCCATGCACACTTATACATGATCTAGTCACATTCATATCTATGGATTTCTCTTGCCTTTTTACTTAGTTATGACCACAAACTTACCACGAGTCTTTCGTGTTGTTGATGATTTTGGTGGTGCTATTTTTGGTTCAATAGTATTCATTGTTTGGGATCGTCCGTTTTTATTTGTTCGCATAGATATAGAAACATCTTCTTGAGTTGTATTCACTGAGGTTGATAACGTATCAGTGGTTCTTAAAAAGAGCAAAAGAATTTTTTATTAAAATAATAATATTCTTTTTTTGTCTCTTACGTTATTTCTTTTGATACAGAACGAAAACGAGACGAAACACTCTTTCGTCGTTGAACTTGACGTGTTGAAATTTCTTCATCAAGTACTGTATTTATTGTTGAATGTTCATGATCATAATTTTCAGTAAAAAATGAATTTGTTTTTCCATTTGAACTATCTGTATTAGCTGTTGTTGGATCATCATCTAATAAAATTAATTTATAGTGTTTTTATTTTAATAAACAAAAACAAAAACAAAAACACAGACGAACCTTCATCGAGAAAAACTGATTCATCATCTTGTGAACTTGCCGAACGAATCATTTTATCAGATGAACTAAATAAAAATTCGTTTATTATTTAATTAATAAAAAATAATATTTACTCTTCATTGATAATATCTGGTAATGGTGGACGAGTTAATTTCGATTCAAATGGCTACAAAAAAAAAACAATAATTACTATTTGAAAAATATTTAGAGTTTATAAAATACCGGTAAACGAGGTTCAGCAGTGGCCCATAAACTTCGCTGACGTTTTGTCTGTGGTTGATGTTCTTCAATAATACTCGGTGTCTGCATGAAAAGAAAACAGATTTTACTTTCAACAAAATAATTAATTAAAATTCAACCTGTGAAATCGTTTCTTCGACTTCAGTTCTAAAACATAAAAAATATTTTAATAAAAAACAAGAAAGTTAAACAAAACTTACATTTCAAGTTCATTTGATTTCGCTAATGGTACTGATGGTAATCGACAAGTTGTTGGTACAATAGCCAATTCAGCAATATTCCAGACAAAAATACAACTAAAATTTCCATTCAACAATATAAAATCAATCGTAAAATTTCAAATAGTGTCCTGCAATTAAGACGAATACCCAGCATCCGGCCCGGTTCGAAGTATGAGTCCAGATCCGGTTGCGAAAAGTTCTATCCATGCAGGACACTAGTATCGAATCAATCTTACCTATCACCCGAAATCGTATATAAATGATGTCCGTCATGACTAAATTTTATATCAGTAACTATTTCACTATGACCGCAAAGTGATGCAACACATTCTGTTGTTACTGTATCCCAAATATAAACACATTTATTTGAACATGATGTTGCTAAATATCTCCCTGATGTATCAATATCGATTTTAATTAAATAACCTGTGTCATCACTCATTGAACCTTTACAAGTTCGAACTCGTTTACCATCTTGAGTATTATAAACTCTAAAAAAGAACTCAAATAAAAAAACAATTCTATAGAAAAAGAAAATTACCTTATCATTCGATCCTGACAAGCAGTATTGACAAGTTCACGTGAATGATCAATAGCTAAATCATAAAATGTTTGTTTCTCAACGATATTATTCGAACGAATACATTGATATTTTCCGTTTTCATTCTATGAAATAAACTCTATCAAAACAATATTCTTAATAAAAACAAACTTTTACTTTTGATATTGATCGAAATATTAGTGATTTATCAGCACTACATGTTATTAACTGTAGATTCGAAGTAACGGATGAAAATGTAAAACGAACAGCTGTTATAGCTGCTGAATGATCATCTAATGTTGCAACTAATTGATAATCTTTGGATGCATCAAATATATGAACAAAACGATCACGACTGCTTGATGCCAAAAAAGTGACATCTTTATTTCAAAAACAAAAAGTTCAATAAAATTTCATTTTAATTAAATAATGAATACAAACTCATACCAGATGATTGTCCATAATCTACACTAAGTACTTCACTATCATGTGCTTCAACAAGTGCAATTTGTTTGAATGTTTGCATATCAAATATGCGAATATTTCCATTACGATCACCAATAGCTAATGATAAACCATCGGGAGCCATTTTCATGCAACGACCACCGACTTTTGGGACAAATTCAGGTCGTTCTAAAAAGAAAGAAAATTTTCTCATCTAATAAAAATCATTGATATAACATGTGAAAAAAAACAAAAAAGAAATGTTCTGATTTCTATAATCACGACTAGAGATGTCCTGATACTTTCGGGAAATATCTAATAAACAAGAGTCAACACATAGCCTATTTGTTTTTTTTTTATTTGAAAAGCATGTCAACATGCAAAGCCCTTTTTTATTGCTTAATTTTTATACGAAGAAAAAAGATAATAAGTTCCATATCTTGAAAAATTCTCACAAAATGGTTAATTGTTTATAGAAGTGCTTTTTTAGATAATAATAGCAAAGCTTAATTCAGAAACTGGATACTATAGTTTCACATGCTCTTTAAAACAAAAAAAAATCTAATTGACTACAGTGAAGTTCCTTGAATAACTCTGTGATTCACGATCAGACAAGTATATTTTCAAGTAGAAGGTGACAGAAGCCCGCGAAGAGAACTTCCTCAGGTGCTTCTTTGAATTTCAATGATTTTTAGTCTATAGATAGTAAAATACTTTGATAAAATGCAAAAGCATTTGAGATCTAACTAAGCTATCGAATTTCGATCTAAAGCTTGACACATACAGAGAACTCAACTAGACTAGTTTCCATAAAAAATATTCTGAATTTTTTAACAAAGCTTCTTTGAGATATGAAGCTTTTAAAAGCTGTATGTTTTATACATTATTCATGGGAGAAGGTATACATATTAACAGTTTAATATGTTGAAGGGACTATGTTCAAAAGACCTACATTTTTTGTGGAAGTTAATCTAGTTAAATTCTCTATATGTGCAAAGTTTCAATTCAAAATTTGAAAATACAATTTTTTCGAAAACTTAGCGCTTCTAAAAAGTAGACATTCAAAATTCGATAGCTTAATGAAATCTCAATAGAAATAGAAATCCTATTAGAGTTTTTATTAGAACGCTATGTAGTATTTATAAGCAAAATATCATTGAAATCGAAAGGGAACATCTGAGAACGTTCTCTCATCAACCGATTGACTAGCATATCTCCTCATGACTTCTGAGGTCCAATTTTCACAGCTTAATTAATTTTCAATTTATCGAAGAAAGAGTCCTAAGACTAATAATCATCTTCGACGAATACACTCGTAAGATGAATATTGTAGTTTCGATTTATTTTCAAAAAAAAAAAATTCCTAACCTTGAATTGTTTGACTATCACATAATTTTGAATAATCCTCATCTAAATAGACTACTTTCATTAATTGTCTACTAAATATATTTGCAGCTGGTGATGGAGCAAAATATGAATCAGCTTCACCATTATTTAATGACCAAAAACGTATAGTATTATCCGATGAACATGTTATACATGTTAAATGTCGAAGAATTGAAGGTGATGTACTTGTTCGAGAATATGTCTAAAGAAAAGTTCATTCTTTTTTTAATAGGAAAAGAAAAGAAAATTAATTAATCTTACTTCAATTCCCCAACCACATCCTGAATGATACATATAAGAATCACGTTTTTTTATTGATCGTTCATTTTTTATATCCCAAATATAAAAACTATGATCATTATAAAAACATGTTAACTAAAATAAAAAGGTAAAACTTATTCAAAACAAGAGTCAATAGAATAAAACAAACGCACTCACCACTGACTTATCTTCATCTAAACAAACAGCAATTGTATCCGGAAAACACATATTCTGTTGTTGAGAATATGTCATTTGACTACAGATCAAAGAATTAAAATCACAAAATAAAAACAAAATAAAAATTTCATACTCAATTGATGTTATAAAACCAATATCAACACCCAAATAATGTGGTAAAGGTATTGACATAACATACTCAAGAGTTTGTGGTGAAAATATATAAACAGCACCTTTAGCACATCCAACAACAAGATATACATCACCAATAGCTAAACAATTTGCCTTTTCCTGATGAAAAAAGAAAATTATTATACAGTTCGCTTTATCTTTTTCTTTTTCAAAAATTATTTATTACTTGAAGATCACGTTCACCTCGCAATTGTCGATGTTCATCAAATTGACAAATAAGTCCATTTGCAGTTATGACATAAGTCATACCAGCACAATCACCACGTCCACAAACAACATCAGTAAAAAGATTATCTTTACGTTCAGCTAAGATCGCATAACGACCACGTAATGGTACAACTTCAAGCTATTAGCAACAAGAAACATACTACATTTATAGTAGTAGACAAAAATCTTCGTCTTAGAAGATCTTAGCCATTATAAATGTTAGAGGTTTGAAAATTTTTGTGCACATGCTTGATCAAGAGTATGTAGGTCAGAGACACAATTCTGTTTTGATGACCAAATTACAAAAAGAGAATTATAATGAATAACATCTTTTTTCGAATCAAGTTTTTTTTAACTTGGTAAGAATTTCTAAAGGTTTCAGCTCCATTCACTAAATTACTACTGTGTTCTCATTTCAAACGAACATCAGATGATTTTTCTTCACAGCAACAGTCACATTGCTACAGAAGATTGATCAACTTCAATGAAATTAGTTACGTGGACAGTTGAGATAAAACGTTGCATAATACACCATTAGCTGAGCTATAAAGTTCAAAGATTCCATACATTGTTATCTATAATAATTCTCTTTCTTTTTAAAGGACCTCTAATCTGGATGTTAAAATCAAAATTTTTTCAACTTTTGCTTCTTCATCACTAATATACCTTCGAAATGTCGTCTGTCAAATGCCATGTAAATGAGAACTCTTTATTGTTAGTTGATACTTTCATTAAACTCAACTCTCGAAATCACTAGCAAAGAAACTCATGCTACGATTATTCTTTGTACGCAAAATTCTCCAAATGATAATTTTTAAAGTTACTCAGATCATTGGCTATGAACTTTTAGCACCGTTGAACACGATCAGTTTTCAATCACTTTAGTTGCAGAGAAAAAAAGTACTAGTAATACACGCAGGAAATTTTGTTTTGCGTTTTTCTCAAAATCAACTTTTGAACAAAAAAAAAACGCAATCTTCATACCTTTTTCTCGCACACAATACCTCTGATCGGACTGAACTTTTTTTTCTATCAGTGTTTTAGTCAAACTGGCGTTCGTTTTTTTTCTCTGTTCAAAATGTTGTTTCTACAAAACTCAGCAACTCTTAAAAAGCTAGTGACATCGGAAAAAAATACGTTTTTTGATAGTGCCTCTTGTATTCTGTTCCGCCTACGCTCTACGAACGATATTTTCGAAAGAAACAAAAGTGACGCACCCAATTTTGATTCTAATTGTCATAAAAAGATTGTAGCTCAAAAAAAATGAACTATAGAGTTGTGCGGAATGAGAAAACTTCTAGTCGCTTTTGGGCTTTGCGCTCTTCCCATATCTCACTGAAGAAAGCGTCCGGAAATTTCGAGTCTATCACAACTTTTGCTCTATTTACCGACATCTATTTGCTTTGAAAATTTCATCATTTCTCGTCAGGCAGCTCTCGAGAAACTGTGAAAAGGGAATTCACTAAAGTAATCGAAGCAGAATTATGTCCCTGACCTACACTCTTGACAAAATACGTGTACACAAATTTTCAGTTCTCTAGCATTCATAATGACAGAAACCTTGTAGATCATAGATTTTTATGTACTACTATATTTTTAATCAAATAAAAAACAAAACCCATCATACCGATGCTGTTGATATTAAATACCAAAATTTTACATGACGATTTCCAACAGTTACAAAATAACTTCCATCTTCAGCAAAGGCAATACGACGAATCTAAAATTAATAAATTGAAGATTTGAACTTAACAAAGCATGCTCTTACAGAACATGTACATTTATTTGAAGCAAGTTTTTTCTTTTCTTGCCAACTCCATACATATATATTTCCATCATGTAAAGAACCAATGGAAACTAAACGATCAACATTTGGTGAAAAACACTAAAAGAAAAAAAAAATTAAATTATTTATCCTCTTATGTTCTTTTTTGCTAGAAGAAACAATCAATTATCGGAAAGCTTTCTACTCAAAAAAATGCACAAAGAGAAGAAATAAACCATATTGATCTGTATTACGTAACAATGAAAATCTACTTACTACAGAATCAATAGCAAATTTATGATCGCCCAATTCGATACAAACAGTTTTATCACCAGTTAAATCCCAAACACGTACTTTAGGATCATGTCCACACTAGAGATATCAACAAAAGAATTTTCTTTTTTTCATATTAAAAAAAATGAAGTATTTACTTCGCCTGTTGCTAAATATCGACCGTCTGGTGAAAGTGATAATGATGTAATAGCTTTACGAGCTGTATTGATAATAAAATCTTGTTTTTGTGTGTTTATATCATAAAGAACAGCAGTAGAACTGGAAATATATATATATATAGATAATTAGTTCATTTCATTAAGTAAATATAATTTTACCCAGCAGCATATGCTATTGTTGAATGATCTTGACCAACAACTGAGTTTGAAATTGATGTAAAACCAAGGACATGTTCAAGATTAACTTGAAACTAAAAGAAACTATTATCAATATTATATAATGTGCTAATGAAATATCATACTCGAGATATACTTGATGATATATCCGATCGTTGTGCTTTACGTTTAAGGGCTGAATATGATGTCATATTCCCAAGATGCGTTTGTCTACGACGATTTATATAAAGTGGAGATGAAGATTGTGTATTTTGTGCAAATAAGGCAATATTGCCAGTTGTCAAAGGTGTTGAATGTTGATAACATTCACTAGTTCGTTTATTGGTCAATCGATTTTCGTCTATATCAGTGATACATCAAGAAAATGAAGTCATGATAAGAAAATAACATGATAAGGATATATTACACATATAATAGAATAAAGCAAACGAAGCTGTTACCTGTTAACCTCATATAGCAGCACACACCCTTGAAACTTAGTCACTTATTTTTTTATAAAATAAAAGTGTACATAAACCGTGCAAACAAAACGTAATCGTACAAATATATATACATATGTGTACACACCAACTAATCATTATCCTCAAGTATACAATCATTCATTTTTTTTCTTTCTCGGTTGCTATTTATATATTGGTTGCTATAGGATGATGAGATCGAGACCATGTGGCATCGGCACTACTATCATCGATCAAAAGCAATACAAAGGAGCTAAACTAATCTTTTCTATAGAAAAATCGTCACTATTAATTAAGAGATTATCACTAACATATAAACAATAATGATGGAAAAAACAATGAGGCATACTCCTTGTATGAACATCGATGCTGTAGTGATGACCCATGAAATTTTCTGTAATCTGATAGTTTAATGAGAGAAAGATTAAAACACTATTGGAATATGAATATATTTAATAAAGAATTTATACCGTTTCTTAATGTTGAAGATTTAATTAAACGTTTAACTTTAATTGCTTTATTTAATTTAAGTATTGAAGATCTTGTTGCCAATCGATAATGATGTGATGTTGATATTGATATTGATGTTGACTGTTGACGAGTTTCATATTTTTTATGATGCATCGAACGACAACAACAATAACGATGGGCACAACATGTGAAGAAAATAAAGTTGGCAGAAATAGAATAGGAGAAGAAGAACTAACTAACTGACTGACTGACTGACTAACAGACAGACACTATCGACAGAAATATAACAAGCTCGAATCTAGAGAGAAAGAAAAATATATATAAATGAAAAATGTCAAAGTAAGCGAACAATGGATGTGAATGACGATATCGTAGGCGAGTGTTAAATGGCACGTTCAAATTTAATTCACAATCAAGTGAACTTTTTTTTTTTTCTTTTAAAAGCGTACGAGAGCGACATATTTGTTTAGTGAATGCTTATAAAAATGTGGATCGATCACAAACCCATATACAATCATAAATAATCAGTATGTTATTGCTTTTTTATGTGTCGAAAAAAAAACCGACATTTAATTATCTTTTATGTCCGTGTAGAAGTAAAAGAAAAGTAATACTAAGACATTACCAACATATTTAGTTCATTAACTCCATATGGTTAGAACAATGAATATCAGCTGTCGAGATTAGTATGAACTTTATTCTTGTCTTTCGTTTCGCATCCATGCAAATTTCAAACGATGAGAATAATGTATCAAGTAACACTCACCTATACAACGATGCATAAATCCATTAGTATTCTTGAAGCAATAGGCAGAAAAAGAGATCGGTGGTCGATTCGATAAATAACCAGAAGGCGATAGACTATCATCAGCTGTTGTCATATTTTTGAATATCGACAGAAATAATTTTTAGAATAATTCACTAAGTCGTTTTTATTTTTTCACCTGACACGTTTTACTGTCAAAACGTTTATTTTTTATTAATCCAAATAGTTCTGCCGTGCGATAGGGATGCCGTAGTTGCGTGAAGATATCATTACCATCACGTACCTTTTTTTCTTCTCTCTTACTCTTTCTTCTTTTTCTCCTTTCCTTTTTTTTGTGTTCATCGCCAACATTGTTGTTGCTGAACGCGATGATGTATAGTGAACCTATATATATATGTATGAGTATATGTTCAAGTGTGTTCCTTTTGTGCGACTCTATGTCACACAGGGATTCACGTTATACATATATGTACATACACAAAAAGAAATAACATCGTTATATGTATAGTTGAACACTTTTCTTCTCTGCCTTTAATCATCAAGAATGGACAGTGGGTAAAAAAAGTAATGAATGTGGAGGTTGATGAAAAGGGACAGGACGGATGAACTTAAATGTTCAACTTATTCTTTCGCTTTCTTCTTATCAAATATACATATGCCTCGTTTCTATATCACTGTTTACAAGAAGTTCTCATATAATATGGAACGTTAGTATTCAATATTGTTTAGATATTTATGACAAGTGTTTATAAGATGATTCTATAACGCTCAATGGAATGGATTTTTTAACTTTCAACATTTCCAATTGATTAGACAAAAGATACGCTTGAAAAAAAAATTTAAGAAAAAACTCTGCTCCTAGTAACTAATCAAGTTCAGATATACATTAATAAACCAGAGTAAGCAAAAATAAGAATAAAAACTAGTAGACAAAGAACAGAAGCAAGAATGAATAGAAATCGTGCGGTCAAATTTTCACCAATTAAAATTGAATTTTAAAGCCTCGATTGTACTATAACAAATATGAATCCGATCGTTCTAATTTTATAAATAGAATTCAAGAATAGTTCAATTAATACAGAAATTTTACTAGAAAAAATCAATAACACTTTATCACAAGAAGGCGCCATCTATCAACTACATACAGCTTTGTATTAGAGAGATAGGATCAGTTTAGGTTTTTCAAAATTTAAACAAAACCAAATTCGAGATTGGTTTGGGGAAAACTATGAACCAAACAAAACGCATCACTAGCATATAATTAGTATTGATAATTACCTTCAACAAATTTTGAAAGTTGTTGAAATCTTCATTTTCTGTAATAAGGATTGATTGTTCTTGTGCCGAAGGAGAACGATATACATTCATCTCAGTTAAGTTCTTCTCAATTTGGTGCACATCTTATGCTATACTGTTGAAAACGATGTACTTATGTCTATAAATATTCTTCGAAATTTGTCTCCATTAGTTATAAGATTAGGATGAGATTGATAAATATAGATATAAACATTTTTGAAAGCTCAATGACACAAGAAATTATCTCATATTAGCTAACAATTTAAACACGATAGAGAAAGTCTCTTGGATTTGCACATCATTAAGCATCAAAGGTACTTTTTTACTTTAGATACAACCTTCATTCTCAATTAGTGCTGCAAACATGTTCAAATTACACATATAAGTGTAGTGGCTGTGTTTAAAGTAAAAATGTACCACAAAATATATTCACGCCATTGATGAAGTAAATTTTTTCATTCATTCTTTAGCAAGAAATAAGGATTTCAATAATGGTAGTTATTATGTTGAATTCAAGTTTATAAAAAGCTGTTCCTTCAGAATAAATTACTGGCTCGGATAATAACATGACAGTGCTTCTTACGACAACATTCATAAATATGTGATGATGTTCATACAACCATTGTTCTGTAAAATGAGAACTCGTAATTTAATCATAGAAATAATTAGATTCTTTTATTAATCTCTTTAATTTAAAGGTTGAACTAAAACAAACAGTTACTAGAATATTTGCTGATATTGTTTTTTATTTGTGATGAATGTGAAAATTGACTATAATATTAATAGTCTGTTATTACTGTCTCGGAGACTTCGCTTTTCTCTTTTATGTATTTCTATCGTATCTTATTCTATGCTTGCAAAAACTCTAGTGATCTGAATTGACTAGAAATCATTTGAACAATGGAATAAATTAATGTCTAAATATGAATACATAGTCTGAATGGCTTTCACAGTCATGTATAATGAATTAATTACCTTTATTACTTATACATCGAGCTAACGTTAGTGCTTGAATATATATGTCCATCGTAAAATCACTAATTTGATTAAGTTGCCAAGATTTAATTCGACGAAGTGTAGAAAATGAACGTTCGGCTTCAAAAGCACTCTATAGTAGTTTTTCTGTGAGAATTTCGCAGAAAAAGCTATCCTAACTTTATCTGCGTTTATTTGTTACTAGAAAACAAAATAATATGACTGAACTATTTGCTTAGTTACTACTAATCAATTAGTATTCCTGTAGTACAAAAAAAAAGAATCTTGTAAATCTAGCGTGTTAAATTTGATCGCTTATTCCCATGTAATTTAACTATTTAAACTATGTTTATATGAGCTGTAGCAATATTATAAAAATTTCTCTTCATTAAAAAACGCAAAAATATATCAGAAAAAAATTTGACCTCGCAATGCACTCTAATCAGAAACTCTGATATCAAAGCATATCACTGTTAGTTATATGAAATATTGATCAGCAATGATTTATAAATTACTTAGCTTTTTATTCCGAGTAAAAAAAAATGCAGTGTAAAATACATCACAAAATAGGGATTATTGTTAAATTACATTGCTTAACCAGTCATTATGTTACTTTGATTTCCATCGATATCAGTTCTGCCAAAACGTAAGATGAACCATTCTATTCAGTTCATTCGCTTTCTTCTTACTCCTACGAATTACTTAGGACATCCTAACAGTAGTAAATTTGGCAATTAAAATCTTACAAGAAAGAGTTCATCAAATTTTTTCTTCAATAAGTATTTAAGCCTGTAGCCATGCTTAATTATGCATAGTCGATTTGTTTGAAAACATTTATTTAAGTTATTTTTCGAATAATCTTTGATTAAAAAATTCATGATTTTGGTTACAATTCTCGACGTAATAATTAAGGGCCATTGGACTGATGAGATTTATCAATTAGATCAAGCATCTAAAAAATACGTAGAATTTTTACCTGTAGAATAAGGTAAGTATAAAATAAGTATGATACGTTCTGATGCAGCATAATAATAGCAGCTTTATGGATATATATAGTTGGACGTTATCAGAATGACTTTTGATGCTTTGAGCTTTGGCCAATAATCTTTGTCTTCTTTCATTAACCCTTTAGTTACCAGCAATGCATATACGTGCTATTAGTTTTATTATCGTATGAAATGAATGCAATCAGTCGTAATGCATGATTTTTAGATGCATTTTTGTTAAAGCAAACGGCAAGCACCAGAAGCTGTACACATCACCATTTTGTTATGGCTCATACGAGAATACTGAGGTAAGAAACAAAAGTATGCGTGGTATACAGTCACTGTATCTTACGTATATGTTTATCTTTTGTCGATGTCCAAAGGGTTAAAAAGTAGCTTTAGAAAAACTATTGATATAGTATTGATGATTAGAAGTCTTCCTGTTTTTCCCTATCTGTCAGTTTGTTAAAGAGTAGTTAACTAGCTGTTTTGCGACTAAATTACTGCGGCTTACTGTTGCTAATGGAAATTATTTAGTTGCAGGGCTTCTAGTTCGAAGAATCTTAATCAATTTGTATGTAACCTATAGACAGTTTGTCACCTTTTATCATTTCATGTATTCGCTGTATTTCTTTAATCAACCATGTACAACAAGATAGATTTGATTGATCGAAATAGTCGATAATTGTTGTATTGAGTGCTGTAACCGAGATCGGGAATATTTTGAATTAAACATACATTCAACAAATATCTTCAAATAAATCAATTATTTATAATTAAGCATGGCTATTAGCTCAAATACTTGTTGAAACAAAAACTTGATTAATTCTTTGTTATGGACTTTTATCCTCTAACACCATTACTTTTCGTACACCGTAAGTATTACTTTCCGTACGAATATTTAAGCTAGTAAATGAAATTCTATATACAATAAATTAAAAAATCCACATCTACAAAATGGTTTTTATCTTTCTGATTAATCTGTATTTTCAATTTAATAATACTTTTTATTTACTTATGTGTCACTGCCAAGGAATGCGTTAGAAATGAAAACAAAAGTTAATTCTTTTTTTTATTAAAAAAAAAAAAGTCACCTTCGGCCATCAGTTTTTGTTTGTGATGAATCAAAACCTTCATCCTCACCATGTACAGAAAAAAAACACAACACTTAAACCTTTTACAATATTTTATAAAGTTTTATATATTTTAATAACTTTGTTAATTCTTAAATGGTTTTATAAAAATAACGAATCAGATTAATATTCCCAAAGAGAAAATAGAGAAAATGCCACTATACAAAAAAAAAAAAATACCATTTAAACTTAATCATGATTGTTAAATGAATGATGCAGGTTATTTGTCGATGATGAAACTGTTGATCGTCTGCTATTTGCTACTGAATTAATTTTAATTCGTTGTTGATTAACACCAATATCACGTGGTGTAAATAATTTATTATTTTTACTTATTTTTAAATGTTCTTTATGTTCTTCAAATCCTTGTTCCCATTTACGTATGTTATAGATACCTTTTACTTTTGAAATTCTTTCAAGATAATCTGCATTACTTTGTGATGAAGTTAATGTTGGACGACGGCGATTTGGTTTCGTAGGATGAAATGGTGGTGTTGGTGGATAAACTGCTTTTGATTGCATAATGTCGATTAATTTTTTTGATTTAACATAATTTTCGTTGGAAATATCTCTATATTTTTGCTTTTGTTGTTTATTCAAACCATTATTTAGATGAGGAAAATATGTAGGTTCACTATTATCTATACCACAGCGACGTTGCATTTCAGCTATTTTTTTTAAATGAGCTTGTTGTTTACGTTCTTCACTATGTAATTGAACGAGTGAAAGACGATTAACAGTCACATAACCTGACATGATTATTTATAAAAGTAGAATTTCTAAAATGAAAAAAGAAAAAACTAAACATCAATTGCTACTCTCTGCCATCTCTGATTTTTTAGAGGCCGCTTTAGTCTAACCTTATATATCCAATGGACTATTTGAATACTAATAGAAATTTACCTTTTTTTTTGTTAAACCAGATCAATAGTATATAGTCAAGTTAGATTGAAAAAAATTATAAAGTTGAAAACAAACACAGAATAAAACAAACATTTGCAGACAGAAAAGTGTTTTTTAACATCTTACTTTTTTTCTCTACTTCTATTGTATCGTTCACTTACACAAACAGAAAAAAAAACACAAGTCCGTACTTTCAATGCCTTTCCTTTTTTAAGAAAAAAAAAAAAAAGGCAAAACTTATTGATGACATTTGCACTAAAATAATATTGCAGATTTTATTGATTTAGATGGAAAACGAAGATAATGATGACTTTATACCAACATTAGTCGATGAAACAGCTGCTTTATCTGCTAAAGTACCTGTTACGATACTTACTGGCTATCTCGGTGTGCTCTTAGATGTGCATATAAATATAAAATTATTTTAATGATTATTATATTTTGATAGGTGCTGGTAAAACAACGTTATTAAATTATATTCTCACTGAAAATCATCAAAAACGTATTGCTGTTATACTAAATGAATTTGCTCAGGGCAGCGCTATGGAACATCTTCTATTAACAACAACAAAAGGTGGAAATAATAGTAACGAACGTCAACAATACCAAGATTGGTTGGAGCTGCGAAATGGTTGTTTATGTTGTTCTGTCAAGTAGAGTATTGATAAAAATTTGAAACAATCGAAAAAAAAAAAACGACAGAAACGAATAATTTTGTTTTTTAATTTTTTTTTATTCTTTATGAAAAGAGATGTAGGTGTACAAGCTATTGAGCAATTGCTTGAAAAACGACGAAACCATTTTGATTATATTCTATTGGAAACAACTGGTGTTGCTGATCCACTTCCCATTGTGAAAATGTTTTGGCTTGATGATGAATTACATAGTGATTTAATTCTTGATGGTAGAAAATAAAAAGAAGTTTTAAAATTTGAAATAACTGGATATTTTTGTATAGGTTTAATAACAGTAATCGATGCTCACAATGGATTGAAAGTAAAAAAATAAGATATAAATTTTCTTGTATTGTACGTATAGAATTATGAAGATGATCGTCATCAAGCAAAAGCATTATGGTCAAGGTATATGATTATTATAGGAAAAGAACAATTTAATATTTATGAAAGATTTCTAATAGACAAGTAGCGATGGCGGATGTTATACTGGTAAATAAAATCGATTTGGTCTCGGAAGAAGAAAAAATGAAAGTACTTTCACTCGTTCGGTATGTTACAATGAGTTATTTCAATAAATGAATACTTTTTTTTTTGTATATTAGATCAATTAACGTTACGGCTCAAATTTATGAAACAACACGCTCATGGTAAACATTGTTTTTCTTTCTTTTTACAAAATCTAACGTGTATAATTTCTAGTATTGATTTATCTCTTATACTTGATCGACATGCGTATAGTAGCCATTCACCAACTGATTATCTTTTGAAAAAAATTAACAATCAAACATCAATATCAATTCCACATGGACATCAAGTATTTTAAATAAATTATTCAATCTTATCATCTTTTGCAAATATTTTCTAGACACTTAATTCCGTAACAATCGAATTAAATGGTGAATTTGATTTCAATGAACTTGATCAACTTATGATTCAACTTTTATGGAACGAACAAAATACAACTCAAGAAATCGTTCGAATGAAAGTATGTCATTCAATTTATTCTTTTCTCATATAAATTTTTGTTTTTATTATTTCATTTAGGGTGTTCTTTGTCTACGTAATGAATCGACTTATAAACTTCTTCAAGCTGTTGGTCAAATGTATGAATTTATTTCTACAAATGAAAATCATTATGATAATTTGAAAAATTGTTTGGTTGTTATTGGATCAAATCTTAATCAACATTTTTTAATAGAACAATTTCAAAAATGTATGAAATAAAAAATAAAAAAAAAAAAGAAAAGAGAAGAACAACCGTGAAAAATTGCGAAAGATAATAAGGCAATAAAAGTTTTTTTTTTTTTTTTTAAATTGACATCAATTACTTTTTTATTTTGCCTCGTACATAATTCGTTAAATCAATTTCCGGTTCAAATAAAAATACATGCAAAGCACGTTCATTTTGAGCTAATGGATGAACAGCTATTTTATTAATAAATGTTTCCAAACCGTGTCGTCTTTCTTCAATAAATTCCTCTTGAAAAAGTCCATTGTCTTTACGAAATGGTAATTGTCTTTGCCAAGCTTTATCAGGTAATTGTGGCACAGCTATTTTTGTGTCTGCACATTCTAATTCTTTATGTAACCATTCAAAATCTGAATAACGTCGATGAACAGCAGATTCATTTTGACTAAATATTGGTAATGTTGTTTTTACTTTAATAGTATAATCAACATATCGTTTTGAACCTATGCCACGAACTTCAGGTGATGTGACTTCAACTTGAATAGCAGGTTCTTTTGGTTGGACAGCGCTAAGCATCTCGACTCTGTTTGTGTGTGTCTATGTTTATTAAAAAGATGAGCAAATGAATAAGATAAGATATCAACACTACTCTCTTCTTTTTTTTTTCGTAAGAGTCCTGTAAAAATGTTATTATTGTAAAGAAAAAAAAAGAAATATAAATAAACAAACAACTGTTCGATATGAAAAAAATTTCGAAATAGTAGTTGAAGACGATAGGGAACGAAGAAATGTATGTAAATTACCATCACGTAAATATAATTTAGCTTCTTTACTTTGAGCACTATGACCATCCGAACAACGATATGAACCACTGTCACTTGGATGAGATGCAATTATATGTAAAACAGTTACTGTCACATTAGGTAATTCTGCTGATGTTGTTATATGACTTGCATCAGATGTGAGTGGTTTACCATCTATTAAATAAGAAACCGATTTAAAAAACAAAAACAAAATTTTTTTTGCGTTCTTTTTTTTAAATCTTACCTTTCAGCCAAGTTATCTTATCACGTCGTATCCGATGTTGTCCAGTAAAATTACAAGAAAATTCTGTCTTATCACCAATTGATATAAGAACATCACTTGGTTGAATACTTATAATAATGTCTAGAAGAATTTACAATATAATCTTTCCACTCGTTTGTTTTCTATTGATATTCAATGTCTTAGGTTTTTTTTTTGAGATAACTTTATCCATGGAATATGTCTGTTTACTCTCCAACTTTTACTCAACCGTGATTATCTTTTCTGTCTATAAGATATGTCTGGTCCTCTTTTTTTCTCTTCATATAAACATTGAGTACATATGTGTATATATATGTATATCTCAATTAATCATTATTCCTTTGATCAATTCTTGCTTTTACCTTCAACGACAAGTTTAACATTAGATCGAGCTGAAATACGACCATCTTTCTGTGTAACATGACATTGATAACGAGCTGCATCCGGTAAACGTATATCTGTTATATGTAAATCCCATTTAGCAGGTGAAAGTCCATGATCAAAACTATAATAGGCAACACTTATACGAGGATCTTTTGTTATTAAATATTTGCCAACACTTAAAGGTGATTGACCAGAATCGGTTATTTTATACCACATTACCTATTTTAGAATCATAATTAAAATGAAATTTTAATTTTAATTTTTCATGGTTTTTCTTTTTTTAAATCTTACTCTTTCAGGCTCCATAATGAGTAAAATAGCTTTACAAGGTAATATCACTGATTGCATAAGTACACTGGTTATAGTATGTTCTTGTTCAGTTACAGTAGATAATTCAAATGGTTGTTGCTCAATAGCTAAAGTATGATGAGCACCTATATGAGAAATGAAAGAGAGAAGAACAATAATATGAACCGGACATTGCATGCTGTTTTTTGTCTTAGTTTTTCTAAATGAACACAAGGAAAGAAATGATGACCTAACTTCTTCTTTTTTTTTTCTAAAAGATCATAGACTGTGATTAGAAAGTTTCTTTGAAATTGAACACGCAAGATACTTGGAACAATGTCCCTTGTCCCTTCTTACTCGCCATTGTCTTTTGAATTGGTTTTGTTTTTTTTTTTTCTATATAAAAAATTAACGAATCACTTGAGCAATATGTCATTGAAATGCGAGCAATAGCGAAGAGTAAGAGCAAGAAAGCTCTTAATGATGAATTCGTGGAAAAGAATAAAAAGCGGAAGATAAAGAAGCAAGCTTGACGCCGTTTGACTGATCATATTGTTTGACGTGAACATAGCTTATCTGCTCTATCATTTCTTTGGGTGACTAAACCATATTCAAGAAGTGTTTTACGCTCAACAATACGACAACATTCATTTTGTATGCAGGACACGCTACTCCTTAACCGGTCAGTGAAAAATCATTGTCTATCTACATATGGTGCTCAGTACACTATTACCAATTGACTTCATATTTATTACATAGATGGATATTCTTTTTTTTTATCAAATTTTTAATACCTAATCATTTACTTACGAATAGTAAAGATAAAAAAGATCAAAGCAACAAGGTTAACCATCCGTAGTGCATGCTTAATGATTGTATTTGAATAATGTATCGTTTTAATCGTTTACTCTCGTTGATGTTTGATTTTATGTTGTGAGAATGAATGTGATAGTGTGTGTACTAATAATTATTTGCGTGTATGTAACCCATCTACTCTCGAGGGAGCATTTTCATGCCAATTATGATGGACGAGCGAGCGAGCGAACGAGTGAGATCGATGGAACTGAACAGTTTTTTCTTCCATTTTTTCCTCTTGCTTCTCTTATCAGAGAAGAAAAAAAAAAGAAGAGAAAGCAAATCATCGTGATGACGAAAAAATGACGCTATGAATGTGAACATATATAAACAAAAGTAAATTGAAACATAAAGAATAAAGAGACAGATAGACAGATATATAGACATTTAATATGATCTATTGTTTAATTATATGGAAAATCATAAGAATATAATATATTTCTCATATATTTTTGATTTTACATTATTCATCAAATTTTCTATGTCCTTGACCATTGTATAAGCTTAATACTTTGTGTTATTAAAAATCTATGAAAAGAGAAAAAAAAGAAAATGAAGTGAAAGGCATACTTGTCAATTATTATCGTCACTGTTCATGAACCCGAAGGAATAGCTTAATCACTATATATAAAATCATTATAAGATATCATCGAAAGCATAGCTTTGGAGAAAAAAATGCCAATCTTACATGTTTCTATTTGTCTATGATTTCAACATTGACATGTAATGAGCAAAGATTCAAATAGACTTGTAAATTATGCTTGACTTAAGTCAAGGACAACTAGAATTTCTTGTTCGTATACAATACAATTAGTATGAAAAATCCTTTTGGGGGTTCATGAGTTTCTCGTTGGGTTGCTACTATTGGCCTCGTATGTATCCCTAGGGTATGTACTCTGATCATTGGGCGGCACTAGTGATTGCATCATTGTACTATTACTACTGCTGCTGTGTCGTCTTCATAATCTTCATCAGTCATCTCCCTTTCTGCTTGTTTTAAGTTGATGATGTCAAAATCAAGCTTCGCCTTTCCTATCTTTTTTTTTGCTCTTGTTCTAGATCTTAATGATTCATTCGAAAAGCGAGAGAACATGTATGTAATAAAGTTTTTTTCAAATAAAACAGTTCGATTATCAAGCGGAAACGGATGCATAGTATGTCGCTCGAATTCCAATTAGGTTATATCTATGAATAACCAGTCGAAAACAACAACAAGGAAGTATGAACGAATAATTTTATCGATTATATACATTTTTTTGTTCGACCTTGACATTGAACATAAAAAGTAATCAAGTAAAACAACTCAATGTCGTCTTATTAAGATTTCTATTCAATATTCTGATTATAGCAACGAGAAGAGAAACGACGGATGCTTCTTTTCTCGATCAATACGATGTTCAATGATTGGAAAAATCATATGTGATTTTAATGAATTCATGAAAAAGAAAAAAAAAAGGAAAAAAAGGATATACGAAACAAAGAAAAAAAAAGCCGAGAAGAGAAAGAATGAATGAACTATAATTGGCATTTTCTTTCTCTCATTATATTGAAAAGCCCCAAGGGAATTTGCTTGAATCTTATAATCATTTATATTCTAAGCTATAACTATATGAATTATTGTTCCTTCTCTTGTTTGAAACGTTATATATATTTATTAACTCTTTTCTAATTCATATGAAACAAAACAATCAATTGATTGTTTAGAGGATTCGAAAAGAGATATATCACAAAAGCAAGATCAATTCTTTTCAAAATAGATTTTATTTATTTGTATTGATGCTATGATTTCTGTTGTTAATCAAATGTTTAGCATAATAAAGCGACAAAATTAAGGAGATATTTGAAAGATTACACAATAAACTTTTCATGCTTGATGTGAATTAACAAATGAAAATATACCCAGTGGTTCATAAATCACACGATTGCGATATCTTCGTTTCATTTTAATCAAATGCGCTGATGTTTTGATTGACGGTAGGAGATTATTTAATTTTTTTTGTCTTTGGAATAATGTAAACAAACTCTATTGTTAAGTGTTATTGTTGACATTATTAAAAAGATTTTACCTAGTGTCAAGTAAGATAGATACGTTTCGATTGTCATTTTAAAGAACAACAAGAAATAATCAAGACAAACTTCATGAATAATACTCAAGGAAGAAAAAGTGAGACTTCAGTACCCTGAAGTACAGTACTTCACTGGTACTTCGGAGTACCAAAGTCTCATTGTTTCTCTCTTGATGATTGATTTATGTTTCAGAATTTTTCAGAATAAATTCGTTTAGAAGTCAATGGTTACGATATTTCGAATTTATGAAATATGAATTCCAGTTTGTTAAGTTGACTAGTTCTGAAAGCTTTCTCTATCCGCATAAATGTATGACACTAGGTAAAATCTTCTTCGTGATATCAGCAATAGAGATTGTTTATATTATCCATAAGAAAAACAAAGATTCTAAATAAACTGCTGCTACAAACCAAAATATCAATGTATTTGATTCAACTGAAATGAACATTTGGCGATTTTTTATTGTCGTGTTATTTGTAGGCCACCCTGTACAATAATAACGAATCATTTTCGATAAATACTGTATATGACGATGTTCCTATACATATGTATCATAATAATTCGATCAAAATTGAATGCACCAGATATTAATATAATTGAACAAAATCGAATATAATATTAAACAATGTTGTCCTGATTGTTTTAGTCATTATTGTCTTTTTAATTAAGTTTCTAATAGAAATTTCTATTTAATTTTATTGTCAAGAAGGAAATATGATTCATGATATTTTTCGAATACGATCTTTACACACAACAATAGACTTTGAAATAAAGTGATCAAACAAAAGTTAAGAAAGTATATCATAATACTTTATTCAACTATAGATAAAATCAATCAATAATGTTCTGCTAATCTAATAATAAATAGATATAAAATCAAATAAAAAAAGTCGAGCTTTATGGACTTCTATTCATCT